GTATTTCATATCCTTGTACCTGTGATTCCTGGGTCATTCAAGATTACCAGGGTTCTTCCAAGTTCCTTTATGGGAGTTTGCCTTCTATATTATCGTTCTTATGGGGGCAGGGAAAGAGAAAGAAGGTGCAGAGGATGAGAATATCAATGTGGGTACTTCGAGTGAAAACAGGTTGGTGTGAAAGCGTGTGTGCTATGTGTGTCTGTAAATTTTTTTCTGTTCACCTCCCTGTGTGCTTTATAGTGAGCACAACTTGATTGGACAGGATATAACAAAACAAAATCCTAGGCTTACTCAATCAGAATGTGTGGTGCTGAGACCCAAGATACTATTTGGAAACAGTGTCTCCGATTCAAGAAAGTGTTCAATTTTCAAGATTTCATGAAGTAAGAGTGTGTGTACTGCTCTTACAGAAAACCAAATTTGATTCCCAGCACCCAAATCAGGTGGCCAACAACCACCTCTCTCACCCCAGCTCCAGGGATTGTCGTCACCTTCTGGTCTGTGTGTGTGCGCGCGTATATGTGTTCACGCACACACACACACACACACACACACACACACACACACACACGCAGAGTAAAATTAAATTTTGAAAATGATTTCCAACAAGTAGAGACATTGGGTGTCAGCTTTGCTCTCTAGGTTGTCATACACTACATCATGAACATGTTTGTTTTTATCTTCTGTTTTGTCTTGTTTCTACCTTTCCTTTTATGTTTTTGTTGAGCCTAAACCTGCTGCTTACAGATACTTAGGGTAGCTATTAAAACTTTTACTTGATGTTGAAATTCATCTTCCAGCAAGAATAGGTCCTTCCATTGCCTGATTCCTCTAATAGTTCCTAGAGAAGAAGATGAAAAAGTATTGGGTATATTAGCCAGCAAGCTGAATCATTGTTCCTTTTTTTTTCCTTTGAGACACTGTTTCTCTGTGTAGCTCTAACTGTCCTGGAACTCACTCTGTGGACCAGGCTGGCCTCAAACTAGGATTAAAGGTGTGGCGAGGCAACATTGTGGGTTTTTAAATTTGTTAATTTTTGTTTGCTTTTTTTAAGACAGGGTTTATCTGTGTAGCCCTGGCTGTTCTGGAACTCAGTTTGTAGACCAGGCTCAAACTCAGAGATCCTCCGGAGTACTGGGATTAAAGATACACCACCACTGCCCTACTAAACCATTTGTTTTTTAATGTAGGGATATTCCAAAATACTCTAACAAATGACTATATCTTCATTAGCAAGGACTTTTAGGGAATTGACTCATATTTTTTGAGACAAGGTCTTCCTATGTAGCCCAAGCTGGCCTTGAACTCTCTCAGTCCTCTTTGGATTATGTGCACTACTAAGCTAAGCAGATGGGGTCTTTGTTCAAATTTTTTCTAAAATCACCCTATTACTAATGTTAAAAGATAACCTTCAAGCCGGGCATTGGTGGCGCATGCCTTTAATCCCAGCACTCAGGAGGCAGAGGCAGGCGGATCTCTGTGGATTCGAGGCCAGCCTGGTCTACAAGCAAGTTCCAGGACAGGCAAAACTGTAGAGAAACCCTAGACCTCCCCCCAAAAAAAATAATAACCTTCAGAGAAAGGTGAAGCATTATGACTATACAGATTGAAAAATGAACACATATTAAGGATTTCATTTTTCTTAATTAATGAGAAAGCTAGACATGCTATAGCCAGTGTAAAGAAAAAGTCAAAAATCATGAATGTATATGGAGTAAAGGAATAGGATGGTAAAACTGGTTTTTCCACAATGAGGGGAAGGTGGGAGCAGGAGGTCAATTCTGACTTTATGGGACCATGACAGAGTTTATATACTTGCCAGCTACTTGGAATTTAGAGATACAAAATAGGACAAAGAGTGAACTGAGGCAAAATCAAGCAGCCTTGAAAGGTGTACTATAGAGAATTATGGGATTGTTTTGAAAGGTGTACTCTAGAGAATGTATGGGATTGTTTTGAAAGGTGTACTATAGAGAATGTGTGGGATTTTTTTTGAAAGGTGTACTATAGAGAATGTATGGGATTTTTTTGGTAGTATGGCATAGTAGCCACTTTATCATTTTTGTTTATTTTGCTTCTTGTGATTTCTCAGGGTCATTACCTCAGTTCTCATCTACAATTCAGCCCCATGTAACATGTATTTCCTGAGTCCTTACTATGTGTAAAGTATTAGAGAGAAACTAAAGGCAAAGAAGGATGTTATTCCTTAGCTCTAGTAACTGTAGTGGAAAGACAGACTTGCCGTGTCCCCAGGTGCCTCACAGCAGTTGAGAGTCAGTGGTAGGACCTAGGACAGAAGGGAATGTTTGAGGAGAACCTGAAAGGGAGGAGCTAACGGTTCTTGGGCTGAGGCAGGGGAATGACACAATGGCGTTTAAGCTAGGCAAGAGGGACAAGGAGGCACAGGGGGCATTTCAGAGTGAAAAAGCAGCAGAGTCCTGAAACTGAATTGTCAGGAGCTGGGGGTGACAAGGACGGCAGGCAAAGGGCAGGATGTAGAAGAGGAACATGCAGAGGAGTTTTGAGGCCAGGTTCTGAGGGACCCCGAAGGCTGTCTGTCCTAAGAATTCTGGCTTGAGTGCTAGCTTGATTCTGATGGCTTTTGACGAGAGTAGGGAGGTCTGATCGAAGCAGCATTTCAGAAGATGAATTGATTGTGGAATCAAGCGATGGGAGGCCGAGAGAGCAGTGGGGAGGCCAGTATAATATTCCTGGGGTGAGATGATGAAGGTCTGTACCAGGGCAGCGGCAAGAGGGGTAGAAAGAGGGAGGGGGATGGCTTTATCAAGACTTGACTCCTGATTTCACCGGAGAAATGTCAAGTGAGAAGACAGTAGTGCTAGTGACTAAGGAAGCATGCTGTGACTGGGCATGGCG